GAAACAGCAGAATGATGCTGCCGTGTTTTGTACGAGGCACCCCATCTTAATCCTCAGGGGTGACAACGAATTTTGATTCTTAATCGCGAATAGATGTAGATGTGTATGAGCCACAGCATCCACTTTCCATCAGGTGGACTGTGCTCGTGTGTCACCCTTACTCTATAATAATTAAAAATTAATAATGTTGTACAACCGACTTCAAAATAAATTATTAAAAATAACTCAAAAAATATTGCTCAGACCTTGATCAAATTTATATGGGACCACATGTGAAGCACACGTGTTGCCAGTGATGACTTACGGAACTGAGACGTGGTCCTTCATTGCTGGCCGTATGAGGAAGCTCAAGGTCGCTCAGCGAGCTATGGAGAGGGCTATGCTCGGAGATTCTCTGCGTGATAAACTTAGGAATGAGGATATCCGCAGTAGAACCAGAGTAACCGACATAGCCCAACGGATTAGTAAGCTGAAGTGGCAGTGGGCCGGCCATATAGCTCGAAGAACCGACAACCGATGGGGAAGAAAGTTTCTCGAGTGGCAGCCTCGTACCTGTAGGCGAAGTGTAGGGCGTCCCCCCACGAGATGGAGTGACGAACTGGTAAGACATGCAGGAAGTCGATGGATGCAGGTGGCTCAGGACCGTGCTTTGTGGCATTCTTTGGGGGAGGCCTATGTTCAGCAGTGGACTTGTGAAGAGCTGTAATGAATGATGAATGAATGAAACATGTGAAGCACCAGCTTTCAAATGAAAAAAGAATCATCTAAATTGGTACATCCACTAAAAAGTTATGAAGTAACATACATAAAAAAAAAATTCGAACAGTCGTATTGAGTACCATCTCCTTTTTGAAGTCGGTAGAAAAAACATAACCACCACGGCCAATACCTTATTAATATACAACAATATAAATACAAAACAAATATATTGTAATTATTTTCAAAGTTCATACAATAGCAGTATTTTTCCGAAGGTGATGTAGGTAATTATTCTGTATTTATTCGCTCCGTGGCCTCATGACCGCGGTTTCAAAGCGTTTTACTGCGATCCAAATATATTGACAGGGACGTAGAGCGCATGTGACCTATTGCCTCCCTCTTTCATTCGTTTGCTTTTAAACGAGATAAAAATAGGCAACATTTTAGAAGCAACCTTTCATAACAGTTGTTTAGAATAAGTTTTATAAAGAGTTAAAAACACGAGAAGGTTCTATCTATAGACTATAGAGTCACGCATATGTTTTTTATGTACCTATGTTCAGGTCTTTAACTTAGCGCATAAGAATTTTTTTATAGTATTAGGGTGACAAACGAGCACACAGTCCACCTGATGGTAAGTGGTTTCTGTGGCCCATAGACATCTACATCTATCCTCCATTACGAATTAAAATGCGGAAGCGTTGTCACCCATGCGGACTAAGATGGAATGCTTCGTTTCCAGTAAAAAGGGTGTCCAGTTCTCTACACTCACCATACGAAACACAGCAGCATTGTACACAGCTGCTATGTATTCTTGAGAGCGTGGTCCTTCCCCGGTCGAGCCGACCTATTCGTGCTACAACTATAATATTAATTTAAGATTGCTAGCCCAACTTAGTGTTGTAAACTGTCCTGTTTTCCGTAGACATATCCTAGTTTTTGTAGTGTTTTTGAATCTCCTGGATAGTTTTTAAGCAGCGGCCTGGGTTTTTAAAGCGCCCTGATAAGGTCATGTATTTTAAGATCACGGCATTGAAATTAACGCCGAAAAATTATTTCACGAGATAGACAGGGTACCGTTAGTGTGGCAAAGCGTTTTTATTTTGTTATGTATGGTATCGTTTGAATCTAGTCACATATACATACATAGCGAAAACGAACCGATACTTGCATACATAATACATACATTTTTTTACATGAGGAAATGCTTACGCATACCCGCCTCGCGGGGGGGGGGGGCAAGGACAGGTTATGTCGGACTCGCACCGATTAAAACCCCATGGTGTTCCACCTTCGCCGCATATTGGCATGGCCACGGGAACGCTTTCGCACACATCCGCGACACCACCAGCGCCGGCCGCCTCATGGCAGCCCCTTCTCGGGGGAGGAGAGGTCATCAACCCTAGCCCAACTAGAACAGTTTGACTCTACCCCAGTCTATTACTAATTTAAAATAGAGGTGTTTGCTTGTGAATATCGTTACAGGCTGGTAGGCCATATTTCTCATGATAAGTACATCCCGGATGTACTTATGCACAATCTCGGAATTATAAATACAAATATCAAAGCGCTAAAGCCTAAAGCGTAGTCGGTCTGCGCGGGAATTGAGAAATAGGTATTTGAAGAAAGTATTGCCGTCGCGCTATATATGGTCTCCCCCTGTAGAGTGCGATAGGGACAACTTGCAGCTCAGAACGATTTTACCTACAAAAACCATGACCACTCGACGTTTAGTATTCCCCTGTTTTCCCCTCGAAAACTAAGCCGATCAAATTATTTTTGGTATCAAAATTTAAAGGAAGAATAGATCTATGCTCCTATCGCTTGTTTTTATCTTAAAAACTTTTCAAATTTCTTTGGTAGTCGTCCGACTACGGAGGTAAAAACGGAGTAATTTTTTTAGGTTTTGTACTGAGTTTCAACCTGACTTTTAATTCGTTACATTATAAGTCGTTCGGAACATTATAACTCATTATCTATTACTTCAGCGGGGCTTTACGAAAGATTGTGGTTATCAGAGAAAGTATAATTTGGCTGGGTGTGACATCACGATCACAACACGTCGACGTGCACGCGTCGTGGCCTGCCCGTGATTACATTACGCCTTGATAGAATATAAGCATGAACTCAACTCAATTCTCGTGGTTACCTACCTACCTACACGTTGAAATAGTTTATATATTAAAAGTACTTAAGTATTTCGTTAATGGTAACACCATATAAATATCTGTGAAACTGTAATCTTTAAAAAAAAATATAGTTTTTATAAGTCCCTTAGTTATGATTTATTTGCATTTAATATAAGAAAGCAGCAACCTATCTAATGTTATTTTTTTACGTTTAAAATCTAACTCTAAGCTCGTTTATGGTAGAGTCACGCTACAGCTATATTAAAACACGAATGGGTTGTAGCACGAATGGGTCGGTTCGACCAAGGTAAGACCATGCTCTCACAGAAACGTTGTTGTGTTTCGTATGGTGGGTGTAGAGAACCGGAGTCCTTTTTTAATGGAAACGAGGCATTCCATCTTAGTCCTTAAGGGTGACAACGTATCTGCATTTGATTCTTAATCGAGGATTAATGTAGATGTCTATGGGCCTTATTCTATAAAAAAAAGTATGTTTTCAATTTTCACATTTTAAAATTATTTAAGGAATTACTACAAAGAAATTACGCATTTAGTATTTCCCACCGTCTACACACGAGTACGTTTCCCAAATGTTTGGAGAATTTCAATAAAGTTTAAATTAAACATAAAGACTTCAGATCGTTCATAATTTGAAAGGCAATGCGCCACAATTTGCAGGTGGATCGTTCGTAGATAGCAGCAACAGATGTCTCAGATCTGTAATCCCAGTCATCGGCTACATATTTAAGTAGGGTATTATTGAAATATATTTTCTGTCTATATAGCCGAGTATAAGACTTGCCAGCATTTGTACATATGTCAAATCTTACGATGTCCACGCAATGAAATGGAATAATGCATACTGTATTTTCTTTGTTTATGGATTCAAATTAAAATATGTTAAGAAAACATTATTAATTATTTTTTATAAAATATAACTGAAAATTAATACGTTGATACATCCATACTGCTTCTGTTACTCTCGAAGCTTTTAAGAGATTTTTTTGACCCAACAAAGCAGAAGATTCAATGGCAATTATATCAAGACACTGAAACGGACAAAATAATTTGAGGTTTTAACACCACCGGAGTACTTGTGTTAAACTATTACTCGAACAATATACAGGAGAACGAAAACCGGATTCTCTTTTTCAATATTGTTTTTTTGCTCTTTTTAATATTCCTGTGGAATATTTTATCTATCAAAATTAATGGTACCTTGGCAGTTTTTAGCTTTTTAGTAGTTTTTATTGAGCCTGTTGCACAGACCGCAGTAAACGCACGATGTATGATTAAAAAAATAATGATAACTGGAATGTATTACTCAGAGTTGCGTCATTGAGATGTGTTTATTGTTATTGAATTGATCGTAATGTAATAATAACACAAGTAACAATACCTCTTTACTGTAATTCCTCGATTGACCATGCCGTTGACAGATTTACTCTAGTTTAGATAATGTAAGAAATTGTGGAACTCATTATGACTTGGATTGTTCCATGATCCTTCTGTTTTAATCAGTGTAGATAATATTATGTTGCAATTTTTTTTTCGATTGCTGTATATGAATTATATTATATGAACGAGATAAGGAGTTTGGTAGGACGTGAATTTTTTTAAAAATTCTAACCAATGTGTTTAATTCTGTGTAATTAAATTATTTTATTTTTCTAAGCAAAAATCTTTCAAAGCATATTTAAGTTTGATGTTAATGTAAAATTTTTGCAAAATGATATTATTTTTCTAAGCATTTCGTAAGATATCGTGTGTCGAAAGATAACTGGAGCCGCCACTGCAGCTTCGTTATCAGTGGCGCGTCGCGTCGTGGACGTCGCCTCCGCCGCGAACAGTCGCCCACCGGCCTTCCGACGCTCGGAACCAGCGTCACCTCGACAGTCCAAACGATCAATATTTGGACAGCAATCTGTGTGGTGCATCGTAAACGTCTCAAGTGTAGTGCAGTGTTAGTGATAGTGCGTTTGAAAAAGAAACGACAAGCTTGTATAAATCAATAATTATTTATATTCTTTTATATCTTAACATCGCCTTTACAGTAACATATTCGCTTAAAGCTAACAACTACTTAAGTAGTTAAGATAGGACAGTCTTAAGTGAGTACTAAAACTAGGTAACGATCATGAGATCTAGATCACAGTCTTGTTGTGTCCCGGATTATTGGGCCGGGGCAACAGTGGGTTGTACGGGGACGGGGATGGCCAATGGCGGGGATGGGAGAAGCTTTAGCACAGGCGCCGGCGGCACTCGTTCTTTTGCGTGCCTTTTGACGTGCTTGGCGAGGTGGTCGGAGCGCATAAAGCGGCGATTGCAGACGCGGCAGCCGAACTTCTTCTCGCCGGTGTGAGTTCTTTTATGGCGAGAGAGCTCGTCGGAACGGGAGAACCTCCGCTCGCAGCCGGGCCACGCGCACCTGAATGGACGTTCGCCTGTGTGTGTTCGGGCGTGCGCTTTAAGGTGGGAGGATTTGAAGTAATTTTTTCCGCAACCGGGGTACGAGCACTCGTAGAGGCGGCGTCTTGCGGCCGGTGCTGGGGCGACCAGCCATAGCGCTGTTGTAGGTAATAAAGAGCTAGGAACTAGTACGGCGGGTGTCGGGCGTGGCGCTAGCGGCACCCAGCCGGGCGTGGTCGCGGCCGTGGGTGCTGGCACACGCGTTTCTTCCTTCGGCCTGCACTCCGGGTGCGGCGACGGCACACGCGGCTCTTCAGCCTTAGGCGGAGGGGAGGGCTCCACCGGGGCAGGGGGCGTCTGAGCTTGACTTGCAATGTACTTCACTTGGGAGTAACTATGGCCACGGTTCATTTTGAATTTCAGTGTCTTCAGGATATTCATGTCGTTTGGCGGAGGCGGCGGCAGCGGCTCGGGGCTGCAGGTGCCGTCTTTATGCGCGCGCATGATGACGGACGGACGAGCGCACGGCTCCGGAGGCGGCGTGGTGAGAAGCAGCCGCGCCAGCTCGCAGCGAGAGCGCTTGCTGCACTCATCCTCGCCCTCCGAATCTGAGGGCTGTGGCGTCACCACGCCAGCTGGAGGTACCTCGCGCGCCCGCTTTACAGCGGCCTTCTTCAATGGCAGCTCTACCTGTGAGACAAAGAGAGACATACGTAAGTGAATGGTTGCTTGAGCGGTTCAGACCACGCGCGCGGTGAGTGATCGCGCCCGTAACAAAGTTGTGGTTGTGCAAAACAAAACGAAAAACGTTTTTTTTTTAATTATTAGAACAGATGTTTTTTATTATTATTTTCTTTTTATTTTATTTAAGTTCTACTCGAAAACACACTCACTTTGAGATCCATTAACGGAGGTGTTGACGGCGGCGAAAGGGGACCGCAGACTTCTAGAAGTGGAGACATATTGATTGCAACTATATCATTAAATGGGAAAAAAACTTTCTTTTTAATTGAGAAAAACTTGACGTGCAGCGAGAGTTGACAGTTCACTTTGACCCGTGTAGCTTCGTCGGCGAGTGGCAGACGAATAAACCGTTTGAGGAGCGTTTGCGGTACGAGGCACTGGCGGTCCCGGGGACGACACGGGGCGCGGGCGGAGCGCGTCCAATGGCGACGAGCGGTGAGACGGCGCGGCAAGATGGCGTCCAATGGCGGCGAAGCGATCACGCACTCGGCGCGTGCCGGCGCGTGTCGTTCACGTGCACACGGTGTGACGGGCGAGGTCGCAGCGTGACGTCACCGGCGCGCCCCCGCATGACGTCGGGGCGCGCGGCAAGGTCGCCTCGCCTAGCGCTGTGACACGCCACTCCGACTGCACTGGCCAGCCTGCAATTTCGACAGGTGTCATCGACCCCCAAATGGTCATCAAATATTTGAAGTTAACGTAGAGCCTATAGATCGCATTACTCGATCTCACCTTGGCCAAAGCTCTTAAGTCTGCTACATGCATATTCTAGATAATAGATATCATTATCATGCTGTAATATTTGCACGTGAATATATTCTCGATATTGTTTAAACTACACACTCAAATCAGCTTATCAATGAGTATTCTTGTGTTTGTTTAGGTTTTTAGCGCATGTACAAATAAACATCTCTTGAACATGTGTTAAGTATGGGCTTTATAAAACTGTTAGGTATAAGAAACGTAATTATAACACAAGAAATCCCCATATCAATTTTCCCACGGTTGGTTACATAGGTACCTATATCAAGTTTTAGTGTTAGTTGGTCTACATTTACAAAATTTTAAGAGTGCAACGAACTAAAAGTTTAAGTACCTACATACCTATGCCAAAGTATATAATATTATTTTTGCTATCACTTCCGATGAGCTATTATAATTATTGAATATTTATCCGTAATTCGAATAGTAACAGGTAGTAATTCAATCGTTAAAATATTACGAGTTAAAGTGCAAATTAAGCCACATTAATAATACCGTCACAATTATATTATACCGTCTTGATGCACAAAATTCTTAAACCTTCTAGAAAGAGCTAGTAAGTACATTCTAGTGCATCCATTAAATGTTTTGTTAATATTATTGCTGCCATAAATATTCTGTGCAATATTTAGAGTTAATGTAGAGTTAAAGAATAATGCAGAATTAGAATGTTTTGAAACCTATGGGATGTCTAGCCTAAAATCATGAAAACGCAGTGAAACCGTTATGCTACGTGTTCGTATCGTACGTAGTGAGGGCGGTACGTCGCGCTGTGAAAGTGAGGCACCGTATCACGCTAGCAGCGAGTGATCGATCGGCGCAAGCTACAAGAGCCACGCGGGAAATATATACAGCATGTAGATTAACAGCACCACGAAGGAAATACCGATGAGATTGATGAGAAAGTTAAAACACTGGAAATTAATATGTAAAAAGGAATGGAGGGATTGGATATCTTATCAAGATTTTCTTTGGTAATCTCAAGTTAGCAAATTTTAGATTGTCGAAGTAGAGACTGAGCAAGAGCATCTTTAGTAAAAGTGGGAGTCTCAAATTAGCAAATATTAGATTGTCAAAGACTGTAAGAGTAGAGACTGAGCTAGAGCATCTTTAGTAATAGCATATGTGTAATAAATACGAATAGTGAGTCAACTCGGCGACTAGACAAAGCAACGAAGGGGCGCGGTAAGAAGGAGAGCGGAATGCCCCCCCTGCCCGCAACGTCTGCGGTAGTACCGGCCAGTAACGGGGCGGTTGAATAAACAGAACCAAAGTATAATTTTAACCTGTTTTATTTATTCTATTCAACCCCCAATCCAATATTTTAAATGGAATACCTGAGATACGGTTATATAGGAAAAACAGAGTAAAATTAGGTAGATACCTACCAGCATAAGCCTTTGTTTCCATCACGACGAATGCGGAACGCTGTAAAATAGTTATGTAAAATAGTAATTACTTTGTATCTTTGTATAGAAAAATAAATTATTACTAGGAATTACTAGGAACAAAGAAGATGACCCACTATTAGTATTTATTATACATGGTAACAGTGGGAAAATCTCAAGTTGTCAAATATTAGATTTTCAAAGACTGTTAGAGTAAGGACTGGGCAAGAGCTTGTACTTTAAGTTTTACGGGATATATCCAGTTTATCCGTTGATGTATCCTATATATACTCTTTTTGTACTAGGTATGGTAGGATATAATAAATTAGAAGTTCATCGAGAGGCTGCTCTTGTTACGTATGTAGTGACGTTACTGCGGTATAAAGAACATAACCAGGGAGTTCTGTGACATTTAAGTCTCTGTGTGCCAGACCGCTACGTGATGAGACGGAGGGATCCAGAACTGCTCTTCGTGCCTTCAGCACAACTAATCTCCTGGCAAAACTCCTCAAACTTGAACTCGTCACGTGGTTAACCGTGTGCATGTTAAAATTGACATATTTAGTTGCCACTTTAGTGAATTAGCAAAGTTGATATTATCCATATATTGTTTGTTACTATGAGGGTATATTTTTAAATGGTGTTAGCTTTTTTTATGTATTTTTAGCTGATTTAGTATATTAATTTTTTTCTTAATATTTATATTGTTTTTATTAGTTTGTGTAGCTGCATATATTTTAATATTATTATTGTAATATTTGGTTTATAATGAAAAAGAAGACATATCACATTGGGTTCGACCTGCCAGTAAGTCTCAAGTAATAAATAAATAAATAGTACTTTTCGTAAGGAACTCACCTGAAAATATATGCTAGCTAACTCAATTAACCTGTTAGTCATCAACAGGAGTCTAAATATAACATCTCCATGTTTTAAACCTTCATTACTTTTGTGAGTACTATATGTCATTAACAACCCTCTTTCATTATTCATTTATTACAGCAAATCAAAAGTCTGCCGAACATAGGCCTCCTCAAAAGATTGCTTCATAGGAAGTATATTCACTATAGTTGCCAGGCTTGCCACGCAGGCAGACGGGCCGGCCACCAGAGTTTTTTTATTAATTTTATTTATTATCAGGAAGATATTGCCCATCTCCAGTTTTATATCCCTTTGTTGCCTCTAATGACAACCAAGATGAGAATAAGTCATAGATGATACGGATATGTGGATAAGAGAATCCACTACCCCATAATGAAACACTCTAGCTAGTACAAATGATGTTAGTAATGTTATGAATAATTAAAAATTAAAAATTTTGTTCAACCGACTTCAATTATAAGTTATTAGTTATAACTCAAAAATAATGGTCAAACCTTAATTAAATTTATATGGGAGCACATGAAAATCACCAGCTTTCAAATGGAAAAATAATCATCGAAATCGGTTCACTTAGAAAAAAGTTATGAAATAACACACATACACAAAAGAAAAAAAACATACAGTCGAATTGAGTACCTCCTCTTTTTTGAAGTCGCTAGAAAAGTAAACGATAACCTTGAAACAGTATTCTATTAGCAGCTCTATAACTTATACACCTATTAGCAAATTTCAAAATGGCAGGTTTGTATTTTTACCGCACTTCAAATCGAAATACAACAGTAGAAGCATTGCTGTTTAGCTTGTTTATTGATTTTTTAACCATCAATATTATATCGTCAATAATATATGTATTATGTTCGACGTCCCAATGTCAAAGATGATTCGGGCTACATTCAGTTTTAAATTGCTTATTTTTGGTCTGATGAATCAGATGATCAGCAGTGTTAATTTAACGTATATGTCTTAAATTCTTGGATTTTGATTGAATTTTATTTATTTTAGAATAGGATAAAATGTAATATTTTATATTGAATATAGATTAGAAAAGAACTCTGTTCTAGAAAGAATCGGCAAGAAACCTATCAGGATTTTTTAAAACACAAATTTTCAATATAATATCATTTAACACAATTATAAAATCATTTAGAAACAGTATGGTTGCGATCATCTCATTTCCAAGTATTATTATCAATCATGTACTTTTAAGTAGTATAATAAACCGGATAAGAAAATTTTTGCTCAACTTTGACTTTGTCTTAAAAGTTTATATTATGAAGAAATTACTTGCTTGTGCTTGTTACATTCTATTATAATTCATAATATATTTTTATATGTATGTACACAAAAAAACATATTTTCGTTAATATACGGATAGCCAAAGTAAATATATTTGTTACTTTAAATTTTTATCACGAGATTCTTTGATTGCAAGCTTGATGGAGCTTCACTGTTTAACGTCCTATTTTTATGTTTTTAACGACGGTTTTATAGAGCTTCGTATTTTCTCTACACAAAACACACACATATGACTATATCAAGCTCGTGCATCTTGTAGAGGATTATTAGTTTTAATGCACGCTCCAAACTTACTAATCTTTACTACCCGCTTGTTGTTGTTTCCATGTTGTCTGTTACTCAATCTGACATATAATTAGTATAGCTGGCTCAATATATTTGTAGCGCCGTCACGTCGCATAAAATAATTAACATCATTGGACTTGTTGTTTAATATGCGCCTGAGTGAATAGGCTTTTGTTACGATAAGACTGCCATTTACCATCTAACCACCAAGTGAGATTATGGTCAAGCACTGGCTTATAATAAGAAAAAAAAACATCAGCTCATTTTGTTAGCTTATACGAGCATGTTACTCACTTAAGTAACCCCTATCGAGAAACGGCCTTGATAAATTTTAAAATCCAAATAACATTTCGCTTAATCTTATCACTTGCACCACAGAGTTATATTTGTGTGTTCATATAGTACGTTAGCGTTAGTGTGCGTGGGGAAACAAAACGTGTGCGGTGACGTGGACGCCTACCTTGCGCCTCGCGATACCCTGTATTTGTTGACTCATTAGTGAGTTAGTGACTAATAGCTTATAGTCTAGCCGCTTCTTACTAGTTTCTGTGTCTTTTGAAACTGGAATAAGAGTTTATTTCCGTTTTATTATACTTAGCCTTGTT